TACAGACTTTGTACAAAGCAGAACAATTGACAGAATGTCTCGAAGAAAAGAAATTTCGTATCAAGATCGACATTTGATTGCTTCGGACTGTTCCAAAAGATTAAGTTATCGTGTGATAGCAGAAAAATACGGAGTATCAAAGAGTGCAGTGGAAAAAATTTATAAAAAATGTTTATCACACAATACAGTGGAAAATTTAAGAGGTCGCTGTCGGAAACGCTGTATCACTGTAAGAGAAGATGGTCAAATTATTCGACAATGTCGTCAAAATCCAAGCACATTGCGTCGCGTAATATTCAAGAAACCTTAGAATTAAATGTGTCATCGAAAAGGATAAGGCGGAGATTACACGAGGCTGGATTAAAATGCTGCAAAGCTAGACGTAAGCCACATATTAATCAAGCAAATGCGAAGAAACGTTTAGCTTTCGCAAAAAAGTATGTTAACATGCCACTGTCATTCTGGAAAAATGTAGTGTGGACTGACGAAAGTAAATTTGAGTTGCGGCAGTTAAAGAAGACGAAAAAAGTGTGGAGGAAGAAGACTGAAGCATATAAGAAGCCGTTTATAACGCCAACGATTAAATTTGGCGGAGGGTCGTTGATGGTATAGGGATGCTTCTCTTGGTATGGTGTTGGCACTTTAGTCTCAATCGATGGAATAATGAATGCCGACAAGTACATCGATATAATAAGTGAAAATTTAGAAGAAGCTGTCGTAAAAATGGGACTCGACGAAGATTTTGTTTTGGTTCAAGATGATGATCCGAAACATACAGCGAAGAAAACCAAAAAATTTTTCGAGGATTCTCACATTAACCTACTTGAATGGCCCGCACAGAGTCCAGATTTAAATTTAATAGAAAACTTATGGAGTGAATTGGGCTCGAAGGTACCATTGGACAAACGGAATAACAAGATCAACTGTTTTCAAAGTTTACAATCAGCATTTGAAGCAATTAGCAAGGATTACGTTGAAAACTTAATAAACAGTTTTTCACGACGTTTAGAAGCGGTAATTCAAGCAAACGGGGGGCATACTAAATATTAATCTTGCGCTTTGTTAGATGTCCACTCATTTTTGTCCCTGAGAAATTTGCTAACTTTGCCGTTAAGTACGATTTCTGTGTGCAAAAGTATAAACATTAACTTGAGTTTTGCACAAAAGGTTCTATGTACCATAAGGATATGTAATATACAGAACTTGTGTGTATAGTAATAATACTAGTTCGACTAAATTTTTTATTTATAACCATTTCCACTGTGTCTGTCCACTCAATTTTGTCCGCAATTGTATGTCATAGTAAATAAAAATATAATAAATATAATATATCTTATACTAAATAAATATAATAAGTATATTTTAAATTATATGTTATTATTTATTATTATATTATTATTATATATTTATTATTTTTATTTTATTATTTAAGCACGCTGCT